TCCCTCACACCAGCTAAGCTTAGGACGACCCTTGAGTAATGTCCTTAGATTGACATATTACAGGATCTCAGAGAGGGAATCTATTTTTGTAAAAGGTATTTGTCTTACGTGCGATCACAAATTACTTTCACACTGGAGGGCGGATCGTTTTTACCGACTTTAAAAAATACGTGTGATATTTTTATTTTATTGAGCTTGTAGAACTGATGGCTATTGGGATAAAAAGACAAAGTGGTCAAGGTAGCTTTAAAACATAGTATCCAACTTGTGAAACGACCGGTCTTATAGGAAGCCTTTGGGGGTCTACATCCAGCAGCTGATTTAAAGAAAATGATTAAATACTGTCTATAGTTTACGCGAGAACCGTTAAAGTGTTTTATTTAAAATTATTAAAAGTAAAATCCCTAGAGAAAACCTTTTAACGGTTTGAACGCCGAATATAATAGTACAATAACTTTAAATTTATTCCCCCGTGACCACGACTGCTGTAAATCATCCGAAACGTCATCGGGTCGTAGTTAAATAAATAAAAAAATAATTTAATCAACATATTTCGTATTTTCAACTATAAATTTGTACTACTCGCATAAACTATATACAATGTTTGGGAATACACTCACTGAGGGCACAGTTTTTTTCTCGAATACATTAGACTTAAAATAGAATAGATACATCATAGTACCAATAACAAGTAGTACAATTTAAATTACATAAATATAAACTTGTATGTATGTCATGTAAGTAAATTAGTAGTTCGACCGGTGATTTATTACAGTGGTTCATGAACGTCGCAGGTCCGAATTGTTGAATATAGCTTTACTATGTTTAAACAATGTATCGGCCATACGCAAGCATTTATAAAAGTGTCCATGTTCCCACCAATAAAACATTGAAAGCGAAAAGTCAATTTTCCGTAACAATCGCGACACGCCCGCGAAAAGCTCAGCTTTAAAATGGCGGCTGAAAAAAAATTAACAATGGGACATTGTTCCCGCGAGTGGGGTAATCAGCGCATACCGTATGTACGTATTGTATAGCTTGACACTCGCTTCCAAATGGATTTGTTTTAGTCCAAAATACTGCAAATTGAGGGCTATATATCTTTACTTTGTGCGCGCGAAATCTCTAAATCGTAGACTATTTAGAACTCCGACAAATTTTGGTGTTAGCCAATCTTTACCATCGCTTTTTAGCGGTAGAATTGTCTAATAAGGTTGGGAGTTTAATTATATTGTTTTTTTTAAATTTATATATGATGTTTTTCGTTCCATTGAACAAACTACTGTAATACTAAATGTTATTTAAAATATTGGGTTTTATGAATGCGTATCTCCATCCTGAAATCACATAACCGAATCATTTAAATGAAACACCTTTAACAGTTTAAAACGAAAAGTATATTTTATAACTTATTTATCATTTATTTTATCTATGGCCCGACGTTTCAGGTGCTTTTAAATGTGTACAACTCGCGTTAACTACAGACAATAATTAAGTGATTTCACAAAATCACCCACGTCTCGCTTGTATTATCTAGGTTTATAATAGGGCCACAGAATATCTGTATTGGGGCATAAACCCAAATGTAGCTCGGTGGACTTCTTTTCAAAAGCAACTACATTATTACATTGTATTGTAACGTAAATATTATATTTGGTAGATTACTTTGTATTTCTAAATCTTTAATTTTTGAATATACAAATTTCTATTCTTTTCTATCTCGTATTTAAACTTCCGAATGTCCAAAGTCAATTTACCTTCAAGCTGGTAACCAACAAGTCGTGCGACACAAGGAACAATATTTACACTTCGCGCAATTTTTCGAATTATTTTACGCAAAAATAAAACATTGGCACCTGAAACGTAGTGAAACCAGGTGTCAGATAATATTTTTTAACGTAATTGCGTTAATTAGCACCTTCCACCGTCAATTATCAAATTAAACCGTCTACTAATTAATGCAGCAGACTGGAAGCCGGTTTGAAACATTTTTCCTGTCATCGTGGATTAACAGCGATGTAGCTCGTATGCGCTTGGTATAGCCGATTAATGATCCTATTGTTCTGCGTTGGTTTCTAAAAATTAATTCCTTTCTAACAATTGTTCGATTTTAGCACACGAAAATTGGTATTAATATGGAAGTGATTATTATAAATACAATACTGATTTGTTTATCTTGTGTAACCAAATAACATATAGAATAAGCTACGAAGATTATATATATACTTATTTTAGATAAATATCTACTTAAGATATTAGCTCTACGGAAGTTCAAGTAGGTTTGCAAAATTTAAGTGTAAGCCTTGTTATGATTTACTATAAGACCACGAAAGTATATAGCAATGAATATATGACGCAAAAACCACTTTAAACGGTTTAAAACTAAAATATATTAAATTACTTTTTTTGCGTTTTAAACATTTAATAGTTACACATATATACACAGACAATACTTATATGACGAATTTGAAACCTATACCTTGGTAAAACTTATTCTTCGCGTACTCCCATTCTTCCAAGTCCACACGTCAACTATCTATTTGAAACGTACCTTATGAACTTAAGGATAGTTGACTAATTGCCAGATACTAGCGTAAAAATAAATAAACAACCCAAACGCTAAAAGTAATAGAGGCTTCAGAAGTTCTATTTAATTCTGAAACTTTTGTGATAGGTCGATTACGAGAATTGAAGGTTTACCAACTTTGTCGTCGATAGTCAGAAGTTTAAAATGTTAACTTATAATGACCCGTGACAAAGGACATTAGGGGGTAACCTTCCATGAAGATTTAGTTATAAAAATGTTCATTCTAAATTCAAAAATTAAAGCGTATCTGTCATGGTGGTAGTCAAAACACGTACAAGTTAAATATTGTCTGTAGTTTACGCGAGTAGAACACATTTAAATAAAACACTTTAACGGTTTCAAACACAATATATATTAGTCAAACTTATTTGAAAATTATTTTAACTTCGGCCCGACGTTTCGGATACATTGCAGAAGCCTTTTTTTTATATTTGTGAATCCATAGACTCCATCCATAGAATCCATAGAGAAAATGTATACAATCAAATACTCTCTGTACTTTACACAAGAAGTACACATTTAAATAAAACACTTTAACTGCTTAAAACGCGATATATATATATATATATATATATATATATATATATATATTGGGCCGTAGTTAGAATACTTGTCAAATAAGTTAAACTAACACATATATATCGCGTTTTAAAGCGTTAAATTGTTTTTTTTAAACACACAAATTCTTAACTTAGTCAATAGTATGGTTTGCGTGTGAAATTCCAACTCGCACTTTGCCGGTTCTTTAGGGGGTCTTTATTTATTTTATAATGATGAAAAACGTTCACAAGTCTTTTATCCTTTCGCCAGTTGTTTAAGCTGCAATAAAATAAAAGCCTACCCAATTTACAGAGTAATAACAGTTCATCGAAGAAAGCCGATTAAAGTGTCGTAATTTTTGCAATTAATTCCCGCACTGTGTATTATTGCTTTCAATGAGAGATTTTATTGTATGCCATTTACGTGATTATTTCGAATGAAAAGATAAATAATATAACACAAAGAAACCGACACGCGATTAAACTTCACGGCTTTCACGGTGGTGGTGGTGGTTCGTGACCCAGACGGAATGTAGTAATTCCTACCATCCATTTAATCTCCAGATTCTTAGACATAGTCCAACTGTTTCAGAAAAATTATAAATTGACCCGGTGGGTGGGTGACCGAAGATTATTAGCAATAAAAGATTACATTCTTTATTTAAAAGCTCGCCTTGAAACCATACAGTTGAGTTACGAAAGACGTAAGCTGACCTTAAAATTAAGATTACTATTGATATTGTTAAATATTAAACATTATTGTTGAAAAAAAATCATATTTGAGATGTAATGGACACAAACCAATATATGACCTAACGAACATGTTAGCTAACCTTTTAAATATAATCTCAACGGCTCACTTTAATTATGACCCAAAATAATTTAGAATTAAGCTTCAACGTCCATACATTGGACGTCAAACGTGAAATGAGATCTCACGTAACAATTATAAATATCTATCTATCAAATGATATTCTCTTGTCGAATTCGTTATCCACTGATAATGACGTGTTTGAATAACAAATCTGTTTATTACAATTTCTAATAATGGAGGTAAATTCTAAATTTAAACGTCAATTTGACGGCCATTTTGGATAGGATTTCGCACCTGTCTTAATCTTTCAACAACTTAATAAACTGAAATAGCAGACACAACAAGATGTTTAATATTATGAGAGCCAACGGGGCACATTCCTCAGGGACCCTGTCTAGTGCATGTGAAAACACGTCGCTTTAGTGCATATAAATGCCTGTTATTTTAGGACTCCAGTTGCTATTATTATGACGTTATATTATTTACTTTGTTCTAAACATTCAGTATCTTCGTCGTAAATTTAATAGCGTTAAAGGGACTGTTATAACTAAGGTTATCATAAAGATATTGATAAGAACTAAATACGGTTAGTAATCTACGCGAATGGTGAATATTTAAATATATATAAAAAACACTTGAACGGTTTAAAACGCGATGCACATCAGTTAAACTTATTTGGACATTGTTTTTCATTAGACAGTCAGTCTCCCCGTGACCCATTCGAAATGTCGGGCCGAAGTTAAAATAAATTTCAAATAAGTTTAACTAATATATATCGCCTTTTAAACCGTTAGTGTTTTATTTAAACACGTACAAGTTCCTAAAAAACATCCAGCTGTGGAAACTGATAATTCCCTAAAATAAAAGATATTCCAAATCCGAGTCCTGGTTACATAAAACGTGTTTTAAAATGTCAAACGAACGATCTGCGTCATTTTGAAGGATTATGAGCACAAATAAGACCAATGACACGTCTAGCTATCGCGTGGTGGCTTTCGTGTGAAAGCATCCATAAAACATGTCTAGTACTTTCGCGATTCTCATAAAGTACAGTTGTAAAATGGTAATGTTTTACTACTATCAATTGGTGTACGCTATAGACCACTATGAAATTACACGGTGTCATTTCACTCAAGTGGACTCAAGCCACGTCCGACAGCGCACTGCTGGTGAACACCTACCTGGTTTTTGTCCTTTTATACGTAAGTCATTACACCAAAAACAAACTGACTAAAAATGTTTAAAAACTTTAATATTTTTAAAATGTTATTGCACATGTTGGCACTATATATTATATATTAAATTCGATTATAAATTGAAAAAAAAATATAATCGATTGATTGTTTTTCTTAAGCTGCAAAGCGTAAGACATTGAACCTTAAACGTTGAAGAAATGAGTTATGAAATATGTAACTCACTACGAATGAGGAAATAGACAGACACACGTTAAAATACAGTTGCTCCTATTTGGCTTGACTGAATAGCTGTGGCACTGCAAAGCACAGATTTGACAAAATCTACGTAAAGAAGTAAAAAACTAAATGTCGGGCTATTCATTTGGTCGTTCCTTTAATATGGCACAAGCATATAGGGTATGTTACAACTTACAGACATACTGTGGTAATAACGTATGATATGAGTCCCTTATTCTAAATCCTGTTTATTGTATTACATGCGAACAATAATACGAATTTCATTCTCAGACTGCATTGTGACGTTAAACTATAGTTATGATGATAATGAATCAAATATATGAAATATTGTAATAATGTATATAAATACAATGCTAAACTTTACTTATGGTGGTCGTGGTTGGATGACGAGACGGACATATTTCTGTATCCATTCCACTGATTGATTTTTCTATCTCTCAACTCTCGTAACACAGTGACAATTGAGTGGTTTCTTGCATACCATTTATTATTATATCATGAAGTTTCCATCAAGCGTCGGGGTGTTATCTTGATGTAGAGTGCAAGAAGTGCACTCGACGTTCATGCTTCCGTGAATACGCAAAGCCTATGCCTTCAAGGTGAAGGTTTTTAAATACATTTAGTAGAGTAAAAATATATAATATAAAGCTAAAGTGTGTTTGTTTGATTGAACGTCTTAATCGAATCAAATTATTATTAAAAAAAGATTGGTTAGAGCATTTATCGAAGAATGCTTCAAGCTATGAAACATCAGGATGCGACCAATAAACGCGAATAAACAGTGGGGAATGTGGAAGAAACGGGGATAATAATTTATCTTTATAGTGACATCAACATTTGTTAACAGAATTTATTAAAATATAACGGTTCAAAACGGGAAAATACAGGGCTCCCGATACAATGGCTTGGGTATCATAAACCTTAGGCTGTTTAAAAATAAGTGATGTATGTAATTCGCGTTTAAACCATTACAAATATTTTGTAACGTGTAAGTTCTCGATGATAAAAATATTAATATATGCCTCTATTATTCGTTACAACACTACGTTGCACTCATTTCTTTTAAAAGTAAACTATAACAAACTTTTAAAAATAAATAAAGCACGTTAAAATCAGACGAATATACAACATAAAGGTCTTACGTTCTCAGCTAGGTTTCACGTTGTATTAAACTTGACAAGAACTTCAGAGTCAAGTGGAAAACACTTGTCCGTCTTGCCTTACCTTTGTTCAACATGTTGTAGAGACTAGATGAAATATTTGTCTAAGTATTTTTTCTGAAATACAAATACTTTTACTCTTTTAGGGATAAGCGACTTACATAATAAAACAATTTTTTTTTAAGCCTAATTAAATTTCACGTTTTTTTAAGTATTAAGTGTACTAGCACTACACAATAATTATTCATAACTGTCTTCTGTAATAATTATATATAAATTCTAACTCATTTAAAGTTTAAAATTTTTATTGTAACCGTGATCTGTGTAATGCAACCGGGCGATAACCTGAGCTGATAACGATTCGTGTTATTTTATGCAAACAAGTGTGTCATTTTAAATCCGTAATTTACACGAATCGCGTTCTAAAGCGTACTTCAAGAGAAAACATATTTTAAAAATAAAACTACGTCAAGAGGATTTATCTTTACTTTAATCTAAATAAATTATTAAATTTTGCATTTAAAAATATTTTTTCTTGTTTCAGAACCCTTATGCTTCGAAGACAGTACAATCACCAGGAATGCATCAACGCGAAGAAATGACCAACATAATAGCAAAATGGCTGACAAATGTTGGGAAACATGGTTGAGGATATCTCTTATATCGTTCACCATCTCCATGACTGTCTCTGACTTCACCACAGAATGCCAACGTCCTTGTGACTGTCGGTGGCAGTCGGGAAACAAGGCTGCTATCTGCTCCAACTCAAGTCTAAAAGTCATACCTGCCAACCTCAGCAGCGACATACAGATATTGGAACTATCTAATAATAACCTTCAACAATTACATCAAGAAGCGTTCAAGCGAGTTGGCTTAAGCAATCTTAAGAAACTATTCCTTAAAGAGTGTAATTTAGACGCCGTACATAAATCGGCATTCGTTACCCTAGCCATAATGATAGAATTAGACTTATCAAAGAACAGGATACGGTATCTCCACCCGGACACTTTCAAAGGCACCGATAAGCTGAGATTGATAAACTTAAATCACAATCTAATCGATAAATTAGAGGACGGCCTATTCCGAAACTTGAAATTTCTGCAGAAAGTCGAGGTGAGCAATAACAGAATCGTCCGAATCGGCACGAAGGCATTTGTAAACTTACCGCAGTTAAAGATCCTGAGAATCGACGGGAACAACTTGAGCCACATGAAGCCCGAAACTTTGATGGCATTAAGAAACTTGTCCGGCCTAGACTTACATAATAATCCCTGGCGATGCGATTGCAACTTACAAACGTTTAGGGATTGGGTGATAAGTCACAATTTATACACTCCGCCGACGTCGTGCGCCGAGCCCGCTTCGATTCGCTCCAAACTTTGGAACGAATTAGACTCCGCAAACTTCGCCTGCCGGCCTACCATATTGGAACCTCTACCCGATTCCACATACAAAAGTTATGACGAAAACGTGACTCTGATTTGCAAGGTCGTCGGTAATCCGACCCCAGAAGTCGTATGGAGATTTAATGGCAGAACTATTGAGCTGAGGTCGTTCGGAGAAATACGTTACGTCGTTAGTGAAAATACGCTAGACCTAATAAGATGGGTAAATCTGACAATACTTCATGCTAGATATAGTGATAGGGGGAATTATACATGCGTAGCGGAGAACCCTGGGGGAGTGGACGAGAAGACGTTAACACTGGTCCTATCTAAATATAGTGGACCTGGCACTATCGCTGGAATGGACGCTGACTCCTTCGCAATAATGATAGGAAGTTTAACGGCTATAATTGTTATTTTCGGAGCTGTTTTAGCTCTATGCCACTGTTCGACGAATAATAATGAAATGAAAAGACTGATTAAAACCGACACACGCTCGTCAAATGGCGATGCATTGATAGAAGGATCTGTGGCATCTGAACCTGAGAAGCTGGTTAAGAGTGAAACGGCTAGTAAGGTTAATAAGAAATACGATGCGACGTTGACCGGGCAGGCTACTGAGATGTCTGAACTAAACAAGACGTTGCTGGATAGTGACACAATTTTAGGTAATTAAACCAGTAACAATTAGTATTATAATTTAAAAATCGAAAATAAATTGAAAAATTTTTTCGACTTGGGCAGGAAAATTTTTTCAATTTATTTTCGATTTTTAAATTATATAGTGCCTTCATGTGCAATAACATGTGAAAAATATTAATGTTTTCAAACAATTAGTATTATATTAGTAGTATAGTACATGATACATTATTGCTCAAAAATTCTAACATTATATTTTAATTTACAACTCACTACAACGATAACAACGGCATGACAGAGAACATTTTTTTTCTTTGAGATATGTCGGTATTAATTATAAATATTATATGTAGTACACGTAAGTAGTACAATTTAAATAAAACACTGCGAACGGGTTAAAAAGCGAAATGTATTAGTTAACTTATTTACAATGCTTTCGGGTACTTTTCCATACCCCCGTGACCACAACTGCTACATAGCTTTCGTAACATCGGGCCATTGTTAAAAAATATTTTGATAAAGTTAATTACTACATTATAGTTTTAAACCGTTAAAAATGTTTCATTTAAAAGGTATTATTTTTATCGAAATAGTGTAACTAAAACTTAAGTTCTAAGCCTAAGGTACAAACATAACGAATTAATAACTTAGCTCTTCAAAGCTTACATTCCCTCGACTACACATAAAAATGTAAAAATAAACTACCATGTTATAAAACTAAAACTCCAATAAACCCATGCAGAATTTCTAAAACGAACAAAAAAAAATCTAAAACTTTCCACACAGAGGTGCTTTTCATCAAAATTTTCACCTCTAAGCGTTACCGCAGCGCGAATAATATAATTTTACTCTTCCATCAGAATTTTCACTTCGCGAAGTTTTTCCCGTTATTTTACAGCACCTCGATTACAAAGTGATGAAGTCTAGAAAAACTACTTACAGAATAATCTTTGAACTTTAAGAGTCTTAAGATGAAAATCTTATTTTTAATAGGTATTACTTGTTACTTTTCTTGACTTTTATGTCATTTTATCATAAAAAACATGTAAATTTAAACAATCGTTGATATTTAAATAAAACATTATGATATTTTAGTTAAACTTATTTGAAAATGATTTTTAAACTTCGGACGACGTAAAAAATCATTTTCTAATGGTGGTGATTGCAGCAGCCGTGGTCACGTGGTCACAGTCTCCCCGTCACCAGGGCTGCTGCTAAGCAAAATAAAAATCGTTTTCAAATAAGTTTAACAAATATATATCGCGTTTTAAACCGTAAAAGTGTTTTACTTAAATATGTACTACTTGCGTAAACTATAGACAGTATTTAATCGTTAATATTTTTAAAATTGTTGAACGCATTATACAAATATTTCAAACCAGTAGAACTTATGTGGTTGTATAAGCTTAGTATTAATAATATATTTTAATTCTTAAATTATGAAATTCCTGTTATTTTCTATGTAACAAAGTTTGATATATATAAAATTACAATCAATAGATATAATCTATATTTAGTAGCTTTTCCGGCCCGGTGAATAGTTAACGAATGGTTTATCAGTTATCAGAACTATTGGTTTATATAGCCTAAGGCTTAAATGAAAGTATACATAATTGTAGCTAAACGATAAGATATCAACTTATATATATGTATGGAAACTTTTATGTTTTGCACATGATGGCACTATATAATTGAAACATTGAAAATAAATTGAAAAAATGTTCGACTGGGGCAGGACTTGAACCGGCGTCGTCAGCGTTCCGCGCTGTTGCTCTGCAACTATATTATGTATATGTTTTCGACGATAATATTAGTAAATTAGTAGGTTCAATAATACATAGAAGTTTATTAATATTTGTAAAAACAATTTCAGCGGTTTAAACCCTACAAAATATATTATTTTACTTATTTTAAATTTATGTTAACTACGGTCCGACGTTTTACAGTTGTTGCCTTATATAATATACTATGTGTACAGGTTCTAATAAGATAGGACTATATTGCTTTCGTCATCATTATAATTGGTCAGTAACACATAAAGATTCACCCAAATAAACCGTTAAAAACGTAATTAATATAATCAATTAATTTCAGAATTTATAATGTAATTATAAAAACAACCTGATGTTTGTTTAAATTTCACTTTAATAAACGCCGATCATGATTATCTATTCCTCTATAAAAGTGCGTAATTTATCATTTCAACGAATTTCCTACATATTACAAACTGAAACTTCCAACATCAACACAATTTCCTTTCCTCATTTCTTCGAATCGTTTGATAATAGAAAAAATCGTTATAAAAGTGATTTTTGTAATGAAACTTCGTGAATGGTATAAGTTGTGAATTACTCGCTTCTTTATAGGCTTTTTTCCTCGCAATTTCCCAGGAAATGGAGATCGCCGAAAAGTTTTCGTTTTCCATATAATTTTATATCATAGTGAAGAAATATTATACGTAGGTAGGTACACCTCCACCACCACCGCGGTATAAAAGTCAACCGCATTGTCTAGAATTGCATTTGGCACGAGAATTTCTAGATTCGAAGCACGGAAAACATAACATACATAGTTACAATCGGTCTAGGCACGTATTAATCAGTTGAATCTAAATAAAATTAATATTATTGTCATTATTAATATTTACACTTACAAAGCGTATAAAATAGTCTTTAATTACGAGTATCGATTCTTAAAATTAGTTGATATACTCAATTCGTTAAAAATAAAAATATTTTTTAACAAACAATAACCGACTACAACTGAAAAGCAACAAGTAAATTCCCTTCGCGCAAAGTATTTTGATTTAGTCAAATTAAAAATTTGATTTTTTTTTCTCAAGCATGCTTGGATATTTGAGCATTATTTTGACAACCTTCTTCGAGATAAATTGAACTTGTTTTATTGGTCGAGCATCGGCCGGAAATGGTTTATGAAAATCATTATCTGTCATGTTTAGCGGCCAATTAAATCTAAATTTAAAAACATATTTATCGTGTTATTTGAAAATGGAACGATCTTCTACTTCGCAACACGGCGACTAAAGAGATAACTTATCGAAGGTTTAATTTAAATTTCGAACTGGCTTGCACATAGAAAGCTGTTTAGTGAAAAAAAAATACTTTGGCGTGTAAAAAACGATTATTATGAGTTGTTCATTAACTTCTTTATAAGTTTTAAATTTTTGAATTTTACCAGTTAGATTTAAATTCTGCGCAATATTTGAGAAAAGTATTATATAAGCCTTGGCCGTAACTAGGCATTGATGGACGAACGAGACGTAAGTTTCCAGCCGCTGCAGTACAGTGTGTCAGTACATTACTTAGTACTTATAAAATTTGGCACTTGGTACCAAAATGTCATACGACCAACAATATTAATTACTAAGTACAAACTATACGAGTGTATGCAATAATTGGAGTCGGTAAAAAAACAGAAATAGTTTTGATAAACATGTCTTTCAATACTGTCTATAGTTTATGCGAGTAGTACACATTTAAATAAAACACTTTAACGGTTTAAAACGCGATATATTAGTTAATATATCTATTTATCTATTCAAATCTAGTTATCTAGAATGAACCTTTCAATAAGTTCTCATTTAAAAATATCATAACTTACGCAACAAAAGAATTTTTGCAGACAAAACTAATTTCATCCCTTTGATGTTTCGTGAATTCGAAGCGGCAGTGTTGTTTGTAACTTCAATCGGGTTTCGTACAAAGGACCACAAACCTCATTAAATTTTATGGACTGAAGCACGACAGCGTTAAGAATGTTTCATTGAAAATAGTTGAGCGCGATAAATTATAAGGAATGACATAAGACGGTTTTAATTGAATAACGCTCACATTTTTGCATAAAACTGCGGCGTTTCGCTAAAAAATGAGAATGAGATTATGAGGTGCCACAACGAAATATTGAGAAGTAGGTCAAAGTACTGCTATAGTTGAAAATATACAACTGAAGAAGAAATAATTTGACTGACAGAAAATGACTTTCAAAAGAAATTATTTCTGTGTATTTCTTTAGCATTATCATCGTCGTAGCATCAATATATAAAAACTTAACTACGAAAAATACTTAACTACAAAATACTAAAAGTTCTAGGTAGGTATTATTCGCATCCTCGACGTTTGAACTTACACTTTACGTCTGTTTCAAGAGAACTATAAAATTGGCAAATCACGATCCTCATCAAGTTATATTTAATTTAGAATTCATGATTAGCTTAGATCATAATTTATGATGGCTTAACTCTTACGTCACTTTATTGAGAATTATCTTCCTGTGCCAATTAGTTAGTTAGACGTAGTGTGCAAAGTTCCAATTAAATAATAGAGGTTTTTAGTACGATTCGAAAAATAGGCATAATAATCTGTTCAGTAATTTATTAGTAAGAAAATAAATAATTATCGTGTTCTTTAATTTAAAAAAGTAAGGAGATAGAAGAGGCACCTGCCTCTTCTCTTCTTCATTTCATTATTTCATGTTGCTTACATATCAAACTAAAGCAGGGAGATACGGATTTCGCATTTCTTAGCCCGAAGGCATCTAAAACTAAAAAAAGACATTTTTTTCACGGCACACACTTATATACGAAGCTTTGTATAGTAATAACACTCGTTTAAACCACTAGGTTGAATTTCGGATATTTTCTGTCATACTCAGTCTGTGTCTATTTGCTTACAGCTATCGAAGACAGCCATCGTCAACATGACCGCCCGAACATGTCCAAAGAATTACTCATAGATCGAATAGCGAAGGATCCCCAAACTTACCCCCCGGATCTACTCTCAATACCTCTTCGTTCAACCAATCAGAACGCTCCAGCTACTTCGCAAGATAAAGAAAGTCCCAAGTCCCCAAACTATGACATCATCAGCATCAGTCCAGCCTTGTTAAGTCGTCTGCAAGCTGCGAATATATTGAGTACGAAGGGCTACGTGACTCTTCCTCGGGGACCTGTGAATTATGATAGTGACTTTAGGTCCCAAGCGTTCACAACTCTTAATGGGGTGATACCATGCTATGATAATTTCAATATGAGACTATTCGGTGCTGGAACGTACTACAGTTTAAATAAGAGCGAGATAGATTTGGGCCCTGTAAAGATGAGGTATCAAGAAGAAGAGCCAGCTCCGTCTCCAGCACCTGGAACGCCCCACGCGACAATACCAAGAAACAGTGTGAGTTCTCCTAACATACACAATCAGTTACTCATATCCCAAAGAGCAGAGAAGACTCTAAAAATAAATTTTGATAACGACGCTTTGAAGGACAAAGTGAGAGCGAACATAGTTGGTGTCAGTTTGAGAAACGGTGCGCATAATAGAAAGAGGAATTCGTGTGATTTAAATAATTTTTTGGCTATCGATAATGCTACTCAGGTTTAAAATGAAAATAGTGGATTAGTAATATCTACCTTACTTAGTCAGAGAATACTAAATAAACCAGAAAGAGTGCAAATTACTATGAGGCACAGTTGTCATTAAAACCCCCGTTAAACACGGGCTTCCACACCATATATTACAATACAGTAACCGATTGAAGTGCTGACATTCGACAACTGTGAGGAGAGAGAACAACTACTCCAAAATGGAGTATACATTTTGAAGCGGATTGTCTATCTGTGGTTCAAATACTGTCTGTAGTTTACGCGAGTAGTACACATTTAAATAAAACACTTTAACGGTTTAAAACCCGATATATATTAGTTAAACATATTTGGAAATTATTTTTAACTTCGGCCCGACGTTTCGGATGCTTTGCAGCAGTCGTGGTCACGACTAAAGAACGACTAATACGATAAGACGGCTTCAAATTATCAAACACCTGGGATCCCATATAAAAAACTCTATTCCAATAAACAGCATACCGGCAAACGCAAAGACAGAACAGTCAATTCTGTAAGAACCCGGCCAGTTTAATTAATAAACCCGGCCGTAGCAATTTTACTTTGACTTCAGAGAAATCCTCCATCTTCAGTCTCTCCGGGATCACGCCGGCTGCAAAACATCCGAATCGTCAGGCCGTAGTTAAAAATAATTTTTAAATAAGTTTAACTAATATATATCGCGTTTTAAACCATTAAAGTGTTTTATTTAATATCTCTGATTTCTTTAGAATTCTGTGAAGTTACTTTATCCATAATCGTATCTTTTATGTTTTGTATTAAATACAAAACTTCACACTATTATTTGGGTAACACTTCTATTCTTTATTCGTTCTAGAAAATTCTTATGGCGTTCAATTCCTATTTTTAACGAAATATAGATGTTATTGTAAATATTATAGCTAATATTAATATAATGGAATTGTTATATGTAAAAAAACTGAATCAGTAATAGAGACTACATATAAATTTAATGTTATATTCTGCTACACCTTTTTCATTATTTAAGATTGGACCTTCTGGGGGAGATAAGTAGTTACCTATTATCCCTGTACTTTTTTTAATTTAAAAATTTTATACTTTTAGCTATATATATCTCTCTTCTTGATTTTCAAGAACTATATGGAAAAAATAATGTCATAAAATTAGTTGAACATAGCCACAGTTTCCTGGTAATTTCAGTATTTAGAATCAAAGTTTAATCAATATAGTCTATATAATTATAAAAAATCGATTTACTGTAAATAACATTGTAACTTATTATAGATTTATTTAAATTATACTAGCTCTTAATAATTATTGTGTATATGAAAACGCTTTACGGTTATTGTAAAAATGTATATAAATAGTTATTTATAATTAAGTATGATTGATGAGTAAATGAAGTTTTGGAGTGAATTATGTATGGACCAATAGAGCGAAAACGTTTATGATTGGGAACCGAAATAAATGGACAATTTAAATATCAAATGTCGCTTTTATTTCCCAAACTAAATACAGTTATTCAAATGAAAACTCAAAAATAGATATCGATTGGTTTTTTTCATATTAATAATTTTCTATCATGTCAATTGTCAGGAATCAAAAAAATCGGTTGTTAATACAAAATAAATCATCAAAAACTACAATATAAGTACTGTCTGTACAATACATATTATATTATAAGGCTCCTGATAATTTAGCGTATACATTAAAATAAAACTATTTAAACGGTTTAAAACGAGAAGTATATTTAGTGGTTAAATTATTTTTTATTAAATTTGACTAGGGCTTTACTTGAGAAATAATTGGACTAATATATTTCGCATTTTAAACAATTAAAAGCGTTTTATTATATTATTATATGTCTATTTAAACATAGGTCGTACAAAACAATAGTAAGAAAAGCCTGAAAAATCCGGTTTCCGCATTGTTGGGTATGGGGCATGTTTATTTTCCCCTTTCTGGATTAAACTACTTATTACGTTTTTCCGGCGTGTAAACGTGATCACCTCTTCAGTAACACCGTGACTTAAACAAAATATATCAGTCAGTATAATGTCTTGTTAACATGGAATGTTTATTTATATACATATAAAAACTTAATCTTCCTACATATACATTAAAATTACATACAAAAACACATCGCAGGCATTTGTTTTATTAAGGAAGGAATATAGGGATATATTTTTGTAGCACCTTATTAAATACTAGAGGAAAAATATCAATCTAATAATAAAAATCCTCTGTGAGGGAACAAAAATTATTCCGAACCGATAGCAAATAATATAAGCAATATTATAGTAGTTCGTTGCGGATGCTTTGTCCTTTTGTCAATTTTACCTTATTAAACCGACTTATACGAGCTCAATATTGCATTTGATCCAGGTTTGATATCGTATATGACGATATGAAACCTGGCGTTATTTGGCTTTTTTTCTTGGAAACATTTGAATGGCGGTATTAATAAAAACGGGCTCCTTGGTGTAGAGATTGATTCACGGGTTATGTTTCAAATTCAATTATTGAAATATGTTGGACTTCTTATCATTGTTTTTCAGGCTATTCGGCTGACGTGAACGAGAAGAGGTTCTTTACGCCGCGCGAGCGGACGGCATCATCAGGAGGTTGTGTTAGCTCAGTGATTGCCAAAGTGGTCTATATAGACCCCTAGGGGGTCTACGTCAGCGAAAAAAAATTGTGGGTCCAAGAAATGAAAATAAACGACGATAACGTTAGTGGATCTCAACACATACACTTAGTACTTATATCATACTACCTAATAATATCAAAACATATACATTATTTATAAACGTACCTATGAAGTAAAAAACAAATTGTGTACTAAAAGATACAAAATTTTATTTTGAGTAGTTTTAATTTAAATTCAATTAATAAATGTATATATTAACATGTGCTGTTACTTTAAGTTTTTAACACTTACCTTCACTACAGTTACAAATTTACAGGAAATCAATATCAGGTAAGTAGGAGGTCTACCCAACAAGGAAAAACTGGCAAGGGGTCTACGATACAAAAAGGTTTGGTTAACTGTGTGTTGGCTCCTTGATTGCTCAAAGAATCAAGTGTTGTCCGCCGCGGGCTCGTGATGGCGTTACGTCAAGATCAAGTCAAGTTCTCGCTCACGTCGGCGAAACAGCCCGAAAAACAATGATATGCTGAACGATGGCCGTGAAAGCCTTACACAATTTATGTTGGACTTCGTTTCAAAATCTGGATATGAAATGGATGGTAAGAATATCGAAAATTCCACCTGTATCAAAAATTGTCACTCCGTAGAAACACGACGAACAGACAGACAAACAAAAAAAAAATTGACGAATCTAAATAATTTTTTTAATTTTAAAGAGAATAAAGTATATTTTATATATTTTATTTTATTTACAAGTGATAAAGGCGTGAACTTAATCGCGTTTCGGTTTCAGACTGTCTTTTCTGAATGTCCGAAGACAAATAGGTCGACAACATCTTGGAGACGTTATATTGGTGTTTCACATTCAATCATGTGAATCCTATGCTTATCTGTCCTCCTCTATCATAAAAGAGGGTACCATATTGACAAAAATCGTTACTAGGGCATCTCATTAAGCGACAACAAAAAACGGAATTAATACTTTCGTACCGCAAAATCGGGATCAATGTGGAAGGGTTTTTGTTCCTCGTACTTCTTTGTCAGAAAGGTCAATTTCAGATCGATTCACACTCAATATCCACATCGCTGAAGTCTTTGTAGGTACATTGTGCTTCACCAATATTTTTCTATCCATAGAGCAATTTACAGTAAGCTTTCATTAAATTATATAGTTATGTTTTATACTGTCTAAAGTTTATGCGAGTATCGGATGCTTTGCAGCAACCGTGGTCACGGGGAGACTCGTCGGGCCGAAGTTAAAAATCATTTCCAATAAGTTTAACTAATATTTCGCGTTTTAAACCATTAAAGTGTTTTATTTAAATAGATAGATTTTTTATTAATTGCTGTTCAATAGTTTTTCTGTAATAAGAAATTGATAAACACACATTTGACATGGTAGCTAAACTTGTAAAGCGAGAACACGGTACGTTGTTGATCGTGTCTTAGAGTCCCGTCCATGTTATAAAACATATTCAGTTTAATACAAAGTTTGAAGTTATACACTCAATTAGACGCGCAGGAGTTTGCTGAACATTGAAAGTTGAACGTTACGAACAAAAAATTACTACTTACTGTTTATGTAAAATATTATCGTAATTACTGTATAATTGGGCTCCCTTGATAGAAGATGTCATATCCCAGCCATATAACATTTAATAAAAATGCGCTGTTTTGACTTCGGATACTTGGAAATGTACAAGCTGCAACCGAAAGCGATTACACTTTACGTCTTTTCTATCTGTGAACGGTGGTTCGAGACCCGGACGGAATTTCGATATTACTAGGACCCATTTCATATTCAGATTTTAACATTTTTTTAGACAAATTTTAAATATATAAGAAACATCTTGAACCTGGTGGGGGTCGAACTTACGACCTGTTGATTAAAACTTTAAATTGCGTATGGTAATGTTTAAGGCGGTCATTAAGCAACTTGGGCTTTCGACCGAGCGATGTCACCCACTTGTGATCACGAAACGTCAAGAACAATCCCTCAGTAACGACTGCCAAAAGTTGAGTCCTAAAACCAGTTTTACCTGATGTCGTAAATTCCGAACTTTACACAAAAGCCGACCTCAGCACATAAAACAATAATTATAAACTCTATGGTATATTGTTAGGTAATGAAAGGCCGGTCGTTACGTAATTCCACTAATTACAAGGTCATTTGAACTAACAAAAGCCTCCACCTTTTATCTTCAAGGCTGTTGAGGTAATGAAACATTATTTCGCTTTTTCTACCAATTAATTACGCACCAATTAAATACTGTCGATATTTTTGTGGCCCTGTTATTTAACTGCTATTGCCACATTCAAAATATTAAGCTATCGGCTTCTGTAGCTAAGTTGTTGCTGTGTGGCATAAAACTCCAAGTTTGAATCCCAGTGAAAAATAAATACGAAAATATCTTAATATAAAAAGGACATAGAAATCTTTACTAATATGTAGACGCAGGATGGCCTTTTATTATATTCGTCGTCGTTTATATTTCTTCTGAAACATGTTAAATTTCGTGTGGAGAGTTTGAATATTAAATTGATGTTAGGAATATTTAAGCTGTGTATCACAAACTACTTTTTTAACAAACCTCGATTCGAATTCGAATATCAAACTCTCACGCCATCTGAAACGTAAAGCTTGATCCATTGAAATACATACGTTATATTTCATAGTAAAGTTACCATACTAAACTATCATAATGACACGCATAGTAATAACACAATAGAACGACTAGAAATGTACATTAAATTTATCCTTTATGTACTTGTTATGTGGTAAAAGCGGGTGCTATCATCGAATTGTGGTTTTGGGAACCGTAATGCAGAGAATTGTTAATTCATTTATTTTAGTATTTTGGTTAACACACTGCTACGAACCGTAGATTATAGAAGCTATAGAGACGGACGAGAAATACTTTAAAAAATCCGTATACAAAATTGATTGTTTAAATCTTTGTATTATTTGTAACTCTACTAACGGTTGAATAATCAACATCTTTGGAAGTTATTGGTTGTCGTGGCTGTTGTTAAGTATCTGAAAATTAAAACCGTTAAAAGTGTGATGCATTTCATTTACAGATGAAAGAGATATTAACAGTTTTGGATATAAATAGTTCGTTTGTTTGTTCGTTCCGTTAAGACGTATTTATTTTTCTCCGTATTTAATTGTTAAAAAAAGTAGTTATTATGTCCAAAACTTATCAAAACTGTGGTGGTGAAAAGCTGGAAGTTGCCGACATAAGGTCTTATTGCCATAATGATGATATTTTTGCGTCCAACGTAAATACTAAACGCGGAACCTGCAGCAGAGCATCCAACTACGCATTTGCTAAAAGTGAGCTTAATGGAATCCTGTTGGTTGAGCTTCAGGAGTTCAAAGCGGAAGTGTTAAAACATTAAGATGTGCAAAAGAAAGTGATTAAAGATCTAAAGGAATTATGTTAAACACAAAAAAGCGAAGTATTGGAATTGCAATCTAAATATTTGAGGGTAGTTCAAGAAAAAAATACAGCGAGTTGCAATTTATGCAATAGAAGTGTCGAAGCAAGTAGAATTGCAGACCATATAGTAGTTTTGGCCACTTATGCAAAAAAGCTAGGGATCGATATCGAAAAATATAAACAAAGTGTCCGCGGCAAGAAAGATATGTGTGGCCGCAAAACCGAACACGTTGAGCGCTAGGGTCGAAGTAATTCGATCTTCGCACCAAGGTGCTAAAGAATTTCCCCTGAAGTCTGCCAGTGTCAAAAACCAAAAACATCGTGCTCCGGTTATTAAAGGAATCAACACGAAGTTGGGCAAATTCAGGCCTCGGAAAAAAGAAGCATTTGCATGTATGGCGTCTGAACGCCGAGACTACAGAGGACATATTAATAACTCACATTAAAGGGATATGTGGGTCTGGTATAGAAGTTGGTATTGAAAAAAATAAACACAAAAAGGAAAAGACGTATGCATTTTTTGTTGTATCTGCTTCTGAGGCAGTCTATGAAAAGCTGTTCATTCCAGAAGTGTGACTCAATACAATAAACTCAGAATTTAGTCAGTAGTTTTGGTTTCGGAAGCCCAAAAGAAAAGAAACTAAAGAATAAACCTGAATAAATAGTATGTTTAGGTACATACTACTAAAACGCCAGAGGTCTTCGAACGAAGTTGAATGGTTTCTCTCAAAATATAGAACTACTCAACGCGAACTTGGTGGCTATAACTGAAACGGGATGTAACGCTTCCATTATGGAAAACGAAATTATACCTGTCGGTTATCAAATATTGTGTAGCGTTCGTTCGAACTTGTTTGCGCGACAGCTTATTAACAGATTTTTATTTTTATGCTGTGTTGTTTACTACCTCCTAAAACTAGTGAGAATCAGTGCATGATATGGTTTAGATTAATTGAACAATTATGTGAATTGTATAAACAAGTGATTCTATTAGGAGATTTCAATTTAAATTCTAGTTACGAAAATGTTAAAAATTATTTTGGAATTTTCTTATCTTATTGCGAATTCGCTCAAGTAAACCGTGTGTCTAACTGTAATTGGACTTGGTGTTGTGTTCGTATTGTTTGTTCGATGAGGCGTCGGTTTGCGAAGTGGACAGCCCGATTGTGCCGGTGGACCCGTATCATTCCACGCTGGAGATAAGTCTTCGCATCACGCATAGAGGTAACTCGTTGAATATTATTCGTTATATACGGTTGGAATTTCTATAAAGCCGACTATCAGTCGTTGTACTTACTTTTAACGACAATAGATTGGGGTAACCTTTATAATATGAATGACGTAAATGACAAGCTTAATTACTTTTATAACGTAATAAACAGGGTTTTAGATACCTTTTCCTTAGGCACACAGCCTAGGGAAGAGGTAGTTAGATATACCAACAGATATAAATATCCGCTCTGGTATACTAAGGAAATAATAAATGGCATACAAAGGAAAGCAGTGCTTCATATAAACGACAAAGGGCTACTTTGATTACGAGAAGTTTTCTTTAGAGAGAACGATGGTTAAGAAGAGTATCGAAGTGGCATATAAGCAGCATATTCATAATATTAAAAACCAGTTTTTTATTGATCCTAAATCATTCTGGCCATTAATAAGAAAAAAGAGGGGCTCATTGCCCAATAACAACATTGTAAAAGACGGTGTGTGCCTTACAGATGATGAGAGTGCGAGAGTGTACTTAGACAAACCAAGGCCTTTACCAATATGGCCATAGTTAAAGTCCTTTATGATACATTAGTTAGAAGCCATGTCGAATATAATGCTTGGATTTACACACCCTATGAAGACAATTATAAGCTGATCATCAGCGAGTTCAAAACAATTTTTTGAGATATTTGTACTTCAAACAATATGGGGTATACCCATTTTACTCACTTATGTCCTACACTGTTCGTCATGGGTATGGTAGGATATAGCGAGTTACGGGTGAGACGAGGTTTTTTCTTTGGCAACGTACGTAATTAAAATTCTTCGCGGTAAAGCACATAACGTCGTTGTTTTGCGCTGGCTTTACTTCAGTGAGCCAGACGGATACGTGGGAAAACGGCATCATCCACCATTGCTGGTTGTGCCTTTCGCGCTTTCGAACTTGATAGTTAGGGCGCTCATCACGCAAACAATACGAGTGATTAATATTGTACACTAAAGGTTTGACATTTTCACGAGGCATTGTAGTGAAATAGCAAATATTATTCTTAACGTAATTTCTACTAGAAGTAATGAAAATAATTATTGAAATTTAGTTTTCATATTTTTTCTTATATCGAGTATAATATGATTGTATTACTGTCGAATTGGATTATATCTGTAATCACAGCATATGTTTGTGTGTGTGTGTAAATAAATAAATCTTAATCTAAGATACCTGTATACATCGTTCGTATTCTTGCTATTTAAAAAGGCTTGTATACTACTTACTTATAAATCTGGCCAATGCATTAACCACTAATCTATAGATATAACCCTTTGCCGCATCTAGCAATAAAAGTCATAAGAAGTCAGTCGAGCAGCGATGCAGCATCTTCCTTTGTTCCATTCCGTTCCTTTACTATCTGCTTTGCAATAAAATCTCTCCCCAGAGCTAAAATATCAAATGTGCAAGGATTTATACCTAAGAAAACTTTAATATGTCACGGAACTGTCTGTCTGTCACACAAAGGAAATCTTGTATAATGTGAAAGTGGGACTTTATTTTAAAGCCAGCTGCGCCTATTTCTAGTCACTTATTTTTCCGTTTCCATATACTTCGGTGTCTATTGCAAATCTTGATAGATAAGAATTTATCCAAATTTAATTTATTTTCATACATTGAAAAGATTAAAAAAAATATCTAATAGTTAGACAACTATTTGACATTTTAATTAGTATTTATAGTCGAAGTCGAACACCGGTTTTTACGTATGCTATATACGTAAAAGCCGGAGTCACATAGTTACTTTATAAAATGAGGACGTCGTATGGAGGTAATTATCTAATTATTTATAATATACACATATTTTATACAATAATAAGTATTTTAAAGAACCAGCAAAGGCTTTGCGGCAAGTTATTTTATCTGAAATTATTGAAACTTACATTAATATTTAATAATAATTAACATGTCAAAATTAAAGATATTTGATTTAATTAAATGCTAACTGTTTTAATGACAGCAATAGTCTAAGAAGTATGGTGTTTAAATAAAACACTTACCGGATTCAAACGTCATTTATATTAATAATAGCAAATATATTCTGCCTATATTTCGCGTTTTAAACCGATAAAAGTGTTTCACAACTTTTGTAAATTCGTACAGACATTACTGAAGTGTAGTGTTTACTGATTTGGGTTCTTGGCCTTTGAATTTCAGTATAAACCAAATAATTATGACACATCTAAAATCATTTTCTTTAACGATATGTAATAATATTTTCTAATTGATAAGGAGTTGAAATATAAATAAGGAACTCAATATACCCACTTAGCCAATTTAACGATTGCGACTTATCGTTGGAAAATTCGTTAATCGATTTCAAACTTGTTCGCACTTATAACGGCTCTTAAACATTGGCCGCTTCTCACACCGTAAACCCCTAGCCGATTGTTAACTGTATTGAAAAACTTATATTATAAATAAAATAACTTAATTTAAAATGTACATTTTTTAAAATATTTTTTTGAACGCCATATTGTTAATAACATTCTCCACGCTTTACGAACAATGTAATGAGTAATCTTTTAGTGAAAATTGTCTATTGTTTACGCGAGTAGTACACATTTAAATAAAACACTTTAACAGTTTAAAACACGATATATTTTAGTTAAACTTGTTTGAAAAATAATTTTAACTACGGCCCGACGTTTCGGAGGCTTTGCAGCAGCCGTTGTCACGTCTCCCCGTGACCACGATTTTAAACCGTTAAGGTGTTTTATTTAATTTTTAGTGGTTAGAGGCGTTTATTTACGCAATCAATATTTTTGTTTATGTTTAATTATATTAACTATATCAACATATACATATAGAATCTTATTTAGACTTTAGTTTTTTCCTACATACATTCTTTTTTACTAATAACCTCAAAGTCAACTACGATATAATTGTCTGTTATTATAGTAATGACACATTTAAATAAATTACTTTTAACGGTTTAAAACGGTTAAATTATTTATAATTTATTTTATTTACAGCGCAACGTTTCGAATACCTTACAGACAGCTGTAGTCACGGGTGTGTCATATATTTCGCGTTTTAAACCGTTAAATTTGTTTTATTAAAATCTACGATACTTCTTGTTTGTAGTAGCTAATCAGGGGAATCAACCTTTATAAAAGAAAGGTAGATAAGTATTTATAACGACATTTTCTAGACGAAACTAATTTGAATTCCTATGCTTAAGCCTCAATCAAGAACCGCTGATGATACCATCAAAGATATTCAATTCCTAAGCCCTCCATTGAAATCGTCGCTTTGTGATGAGACCTACACCAGTCTAAAAGCAACCTTTGAAGTTGTTAACCCAATGCCAGGTTGGTCATAGTTAAATGGTATAGCTATCACATCACACACATTCACTCTATCATATACTGACTAGTATGTCTATATAATTATGTAGTGTTGTCTAACGGTATAAAGTGAGTTCAGAGTTAATTTTCAACTGTTACAAGGAAACTTATAAATAGTCGATTTGAACTAATAAAACTATATGTAGAGTTTTCAACAAATTAGGTTTAAAACTATTATATCAATTATAATTAAATATATCTACAGATATATTTAGAGCTGAGATTTGAACTCTAGGATATCTTTTAGATTCTATGATTTTGCTTTAATCCTTTTTTTTGTTAATATTCTCGTACCTCGATTGTACACACAATGCTTGTATCATACAGACTACGTGAAGATCTGGGTTCAATTCCCAACAAAAAACTGTTTTCTAGAACAAGCCTGATCATATTGTGAATGAACAAACAACTGGGGTTACCGTACTAAATTCATAATTTATATCGATAGTGATATCTCAAACAAACATTACAATAGATTACAATGTCTTAATGCAAACCGGAATATCTACAAGCTACAATAATGTTTTCCTTCCATCTAGTATTCCCTTTGTAACGCGAACGTATGTCTACATATATAATTTTCATCAAACTAACTGCCTCCTTTGAATTACTCGCAAGTTACACATGTTTCTCGAGAACCTAGATTTTCCTTACGACTCTTTTCCATTTTCTTGAGTATTAATGTGATTGTTTTTAAATTCATTTGTTTATTTATGTTAGAGGTTATTTTATTTGTTTATTTTGAACAATGAAAAAAGTAATGGCAATCCTTGCTTTATTCAACACAGCTGCTATGAAAAAGGTTTTTTTTATTTATTATACTAATTTAAAAAAATCGCATATTTATATAAAAAAATACATAAACCGGTTGCCTTACAACATAGACCAGCTCGTAAAAACCTTCCTTCAATGGAGTGAGCATCTGGCTTCGACTCTCGGCATCTCTTCGACTTGGGCCAAATGATTGTAGTCCAAGCCGAGGAACCGATGACCCTCTTCGGGGCGTCCGGGAAACAGGGCTAGTATTAGAGGATTTGGGTTCGTGGGATATTGGCGTATTTCGTCAAAACAAATTCCGGTAGAAATATTTCCGGATGCTCGTACTACTTAATTATTAATTAATTTAATTTAGTAACAGAGCGGTGTAAAAGACGCCGCAGAGCCTGTACGCCCGCGGCCCTTGCTCTGAGGTTCGCCTAAATGTTTTAACATAATTTTCTGAAGTCCCAAAATTTTAAATTCAAATAATTCGCCGAACAAATGTATGGCAATTTAGGCTCGATGTTAACGAATGAGTTTTGTTTGAATGATTTTGCCTTCTTTAATTTCAATTTCAATGCTTAATAATAAACTATTAAATAAAACACTTTAACGGTTTAAAACGCGATTTTTTTTTTTTTTCCCCTTACTTATTTTTTGTCTAACTAATAATTAAACCTTAAAGTGTTTTATTTAAATCTGCACTTTGGCGCAGCAGTTAAAAAAGCACTTTCAGAAAATTATAAACATTAATGTTTTATTTACTTATCTTTAATTATTCAATGTTTTCTTATGATTTTCGTTATGTTTGTTCGTATCGTTTAGAGGTCTAACGTGTTGTCATGCATTCCAAGATCTTAGGGTAACATACCTAGATGAAACTATTGATTAACACCGTAATGTCAGACTCAAATATGTGTCTGGGCATTGCTGACTGCATAAGAAAACGCCTGGTATAACTTGTCTTATCTTTTGTATACCGACAAAAAGCATTTTAGTTTGATCCATAATAATTTTTAAACAAATGAAACGAATGTTGACACTAGGTAAAATTATCAACAAACAATTTCAATTAAATGAAGGTCTGAAACGTTAGTGCACAGTATATTTAACAGCGGTTCAAATCAAAAGTTTAAAGTTACACAACTGTACATTTCCGCGAGGTGAAATTAAAAGAAATTCAAACACTATTCCCCTGGGTCTCGACAAATACGTGCTTTTTCTTTTGCCGACTCAGCTTATTGCTATAAGGCATCTGTTAGATTGAAGAATCGAAGCGATAATATTTCAAAAGAAATAAACCACGAAAGATCTTTAATGTTGGTTTTATGTGATCATTTTTTATATACTAAATTATAATAATTAAGATCAAGTTCTATGTAACTTTAAGTTTTCTTAAACTCTTATAACAGA